TAGTTGGGGGTGCAAGTAGCTGGTCTTGTCTAGGACGCAAAATAGTCTAGCACCGGCCCTGCAATCATGTAAACCAAAAATTTATGTTCACCTATTTCATCTGCAAAGAATTGTTTAATTGAAGTAAATGTTATCACAATTTATTGTGTGAACATTCTCAAATCCTTTAGTAAATCAGCTTCAATGAATCACTGGCCTGCAACAAGTATGTTCTGATGAAAATATCCCAACATTTTATATACACAGGCTTGTTTCAGGTCTGACATGTATAAGTAAAGAAACAGCTCTGCAGCCTCACAAACAAGCCACCAATGACAACTTCCTTTATTTATAACTTACTGGGTTCATTTTAATTAGTAACCTATGTGTGAAAGAACTACAAAGCATGTACTGGGGCCACATACAAGGCCTTGAGACTTGGAGTTGAGCACTACTGCTTTGGATGTTCCTCTTCTTCCTTCATCTATCAGTGCAATGCTGACTGCTGGAGATATAGGTTCTGCACTTGATGGTTTTTGGTTAAAAATTATTTCTTCTTAACTGAAATGCAGCAAAAAAAAGGTGCTCAGGTTACTTACACATAGAATTACTGATGTGGACTCACACACTCCTACACCAATTGTCAGGTAGGGAATTTGTGCCTCATGAAAGCCAGCAGCTTTAAAAACTTCAACAGAATAAAAATAAATCTAAAAAAAAAGACACAAGTATATACTGTTATATCTCATATCTGTATATTGTACTTCATATATTATAAATATATACACAGTGGCACTGAAGTGGCTGTTGACATATTCCATTACCAGGGATAGTTATGATTTTTACGTGTTCTGGGGCTGCCAGGTGAGATGATCAGTGCACCTCAACTGTTTCCTGTTAGCCAATTGATTATCTGTACCCACACGTATTTCAGATTCACCATTAAATAATGCTGTTTTTTAGGTATTCAAATTATAGGATATAAATTATTATTTATTATATTAAATTATATTTCAAATATGCAGAAACACTTTTTTTCAAAATAAGGAAAAAACAATCAAACTTGTGGGATATTTTCTGATGTTTTCAATACAATTGTACTGATTTTGACATTTTAGAAAGGAACTCCAGAGAATGTTTTATTGACCCTTGCAGTGGGGTTGTCCCTGCACTGCAAGGGTTAACTGCTCATTTTTGTCTAGGTTAAAAAAATAAAAAAGTTATACTCACCTGATCCTTGGAGCTGGCTAGCTCTTAAGGTGCCCATACACTGCACGATTCTCGTATGAGAATCGCGGGAAATCCCGCGATCGTACGAGAATCGTGCAGTGTATGGAAGGCGTGCGACTGTTTCTACTGTACGGTCGCACGTCTTCTGTCGAACCAGCAGGCTAGAAAACCCGCCGGGAATCGTTCTCGGCGAGTTAGTGGCCTGCTGGTTCGACAACTGCTTACAGGGAAGGTATATGGGTCCACTAGGGGAGATAGGAGAATGAAAGTTCATCTTGGGGTATTTATCCACATAGCACCTACAAGTATGGATACACACACACATATGTGAATGTGAACATGCACGGCAAGATGCATGGTTTCCCACATATAAACCTAATAGCGCAATTAATTTTTCAGTACAGGCGACCCTCCAATAACTGTTCGATCCTGAAGCGTCCTCTCCTGTGGCCCCAGGGTCCCCTTTTTGACCCCCGGACGTAGTGGTTACATTGGGATTTTATCATCCCTGTCCACAATCGGTCTGGGGAATCCTGTTCGCATCCAGAAATCCCACTGGGTGGTAAGTGAGAGGTGACTGGGTGTGGGGGTAATGATGGTGATGGGTGTCCCTCTGTCCGGCGGAGCCGCCAAGAGCACAATTCTTCCGATGTGGAAATCTTAGAATGGGTTTATGTATTGCATTACCTAGACCAACCAATTGAAGATTAAAATTTTGTATCAGATAGATCCATGGTCCCCTGAGGAAGCAGTATGCGAAACGCGTTGGGACTTGATATATGGATTTCCCAACCAAATATGAATGACTAACAAGATGAATTGGAGCTAGGATGCAACTGGTTTTTAATCATGTACAAGATGTTATTGATTTAGACTGTACCGCAATGAAATGTATACATGTTTTTACTTTTATATTGAATTTATGTACAATACATTTTTTTTTATATATTGATAAAATCAAGTTTTGGTGTTATACCTCTCAAAAAACCCCCCACTCTTCTGTATGTTGTTACGCATGAGCAGTGTTAATCGTACGATTTGTAATGTATGGAAACGCCACCAACCTTGCGAAAATCGTACGATTCGACAGAAATTTTCTAACCTGCTTGAAAGTCAAAAGTCGATCGATTGTACAGTATTTGCGGTTGTACATCAACCTTCCGAATATCAGACAAAAATGCAATATCCGGCATATCCCGCGATATCGCGGCAAATTACCGCTCGATATCGTGCTCCAATGCAATCCAATGGGGCAAAGAGTCCTGCTGTCGCGGGTCGTGTGTCTCTACAGCAGGACCCTTTTTGGAGCGGATTTAGCCGCGATTCAAGCTTGCTCAATGCAAGCTTGAACGCGACATCGCGCGGCAAATCTCGCGATGTCGCGCAATATGCAAATCGCGCGACAAACGCGCGATTTGCATATCGCGCAGTGGGAACAGGGCCTAAGGGGGAGCAACAGGAGACTTACCGCATTGATCCCGCACAGCTGCAAAGTTATTGTCAAGGCAAGGAGCATATAAAGCTGCCAGCGCATGGAGCGCTCTTTCAGTAGTTCCAGGACACCCAAGCTCCGCCCACTTCTGCGAGCTGCTTGCTCCCTTAACATTTCATCAATCTCCTTCTGGTGGTCTCGGTCTCCCCAGAGCTGTTTCAGGGCTAAAGAATTAAGGGATGTGAGTATTTTGTTGAATTTCAAAGAGTAATTGACAACTGATTTTTTTGTTTGTTAACATATTCTCTAAGTTGTAGAAGTTCATATTTATTGTATTTTATATGGCCTCTGCAGTATCGCATTTATGTAACCTGGAAAAAAACTGCATTAAAACCAAACTTAGAAAAAAAAGGTATAAATTGCAAATCTTCTACAAATGACATTTCTGACAGCTTTTTATTTATTTGTAAAAATTAAAAAAACTATTTTTTAATAATTCATTGTTTGAAACTAATATACTGTTATGCTCAGTGTATTGAAAATGTAGAAACTGATCTGTTCAATAATATTTTATATCTGAGTCGTTGTATGTGTTATCTTTGTGGCAACATTGATATTTAATTCACCGACATTCTAAAATTTGGCCAACAAAAACATATGCTATGGAAATAGTTTTTTTTTTAGTGCACAATACCACATTGCTCCAGGCAGTCACCGGCCACCTAAATTAGGACACCACCTGGATCGCCGCCCACCGGAGCAGCAGTGACGCGGCGCTCCTCTCCAGCTCAGCGCCGCCGACGTCCTCACATGTGAGGAAAATCGTGAGGCACCGCGATTGAGGCAACAGTGAGTAAGACGGGGCCTGGGCTTAGTTTTTTGTGTGATCTACTGCTGCAGTGAATTGTATATGTACTGTACATATACAGAACATATAGAATGCACTGCAGCAATAGATTTACAATTCTGCACTGCTAATCTGAATGGGTTAAATGATCCATAGTACAACTACATGTTATGTACTATTATGTACTATGGATCATGATTTAACCTATTCATGTTAGCAGGGGATAATTGTAACTCTATTACTGCAATGTACGGGACATGTGTGCTGTATATGTATTATGGATCATGATTTAACCTATTCATGTTAGCAGGGCAGAATTGTGAGCGCCTACCACAAGCTGAGCACCGAGACGCGATGCAGCGATCCTGCGATCCTGCCCAGCGCCAACTACAAGAGGCACCTTGTGAGGCAACAGGGATCGGAGTGTAACTGTGAGTGAGGGAAGCTGGGACAGCGCTGGCTGTAAATCTATTGCTATAGTGTACTGGACGTGTGTAATGTATATGTAGTACATGCAAGTACATATGGGGAAATACTTGTACTTGGTCCTGAAAAAGTGGTATTGGGACATCCCTAATCCCCCAGATGAGTAAGTTTACACCACTATGTCCCCATTACATTCACTAACATAAATAGCTAATATAAACATAGCACATGTAGTGGTTATCCTGGTATAAAATAGTTAAATGGCTCTTCTAAGTCACTTTAAAGATGCTGCGTTTTGTGGGCAATATGCAGTCCACTAGGAGAGCAGTATATCCAAATGGCTGGATATTATGGAAGTACCATGAATAATGTATCTCAAATTATCACATACATTGTAATACAAAGCAATAAGGTGCTGTATTTCCACCACAATGACTTTTTGATTGTAAGGAACACTGGATCAGACTTGTATCCAAGGAAATAGAACAAGGCTGTTGTATAAACTAAAAATATACCAAGGTGCAGTAGATACATACTATATATATGCGTATTATTTGTTTAAACACAGAATTTTGGTGGCTTCTTTACATTTTAGCCTAAGTTTGCATCTGCCTGAATTCCTCCTGCCTCAGCATGCTATCTGTGTTATGCCTGAATGACTCCTACCCTATATTTGCCTTTTTGTAGAACATGTACTTAAAAGCCTTTCAACTGGTAAGATGTCCCCTGCAAAACAAACCTAAAAGCCATGATGACCTGGGAGTATTTTATAGCAAACCCCTATAATTAATTATACTAGTAGGACCTAACAGGCTCTTAATTCATACCTTGCATACAACCTTCCTTGTCTTGTTTTTCCATCAGAAGGTATGGTGGTGACTCAGGAAAGAATGGCAAGGTAAGCAATTGGGCCAGTGCACAGAATCCACTGGCAGACAAGAGGAGAGGCCACATTGATTCAATACCTAGAATCTCCCTAAAAGTAAGCGTAGAAGATGAAAACATTACATACATCTACTGTTAAATCACAAAATAGTATACCCAGCCCCATAATTATCTCCTCAGTAATATGGTAAAATGAATGCCGGGTGTCATTTAGCATAACCGTCATAATTAAAACGTATGAAAGATATATAAAATATCAGAGTACAGGACCACAGGGGCACTCACCTGAGCCCAAGAATTTGTCCAGTCAGTTTCCCGGTTGTCACAAATATGGAGATACTGGTGTTAGTAAAGCCACGCGTTTTTTTGTCAGCTATTTCCCCTGCATACTGAGAGTGGATGTTGAGGCCGAATCCTAAAAAAGTAAACGTGTATTTACAGAGTAAATATGATTAAATATGTACTAAGGAAATCTGTATTGTGTAAATATGTATACGCCATCGCTGATCTCTCCTTCTGAAAATGCCTGCTTAGGGTTGCCACTTGCCCCTGTTTGCTGATGATGACAGTCCCCGGCAAGCAAATATCCTCAGCAATGTCACTCGCAATGGTGTGCATGATAGGGGGGAAGGGGTTGCAGTTTTGATGTGGCCCACGGCAGTATGCAGGTTGGCAATGGTGTGCTGGAACCTGGCACACTCTCTGCATTCCTCTGCAAGCTTTTCAACAATTTTTTTTTAAGAGCCCGTGGACGTGCATCATAAAACAAACTTCCCCCTGTGAACAAAAAAAGTGAACCGTGAAATCACAGCACACAAAAACGTGCACAAGGGTGCTTGGTCCTTCAATAAAGAAGGGACCTCGAATTCCCGACCCCCCGGGGCGCAAGGCTCCTGACAGGGGTTGAGATACTTTGGTTCACCAGCCCGGAGACTGGCGGACCCCGATCCTTCGGGGACCTGCCGAAACAGGTCCCACCCAGTACTAGGTAGGGAGCTCTCCCGAAGAGAGACTCCCTGGTTCGGGAGGAGGCAGAGAACCCTATATTAGGGCACAGAACCTCCTCCCCAGCATCGGGAATAGGCCCCGAAGGAACCTGCACCCTAACCAATCTGTGGGTCAAAATTTACAAAAACACAAAAATGTGCCAATCGTGCATGAGGTGCAATAAATAAAGGAATAGTGCCAGTGCACCTCGCTGACAGGCCCTAGGGGCCGGGTGCTAAAAAATTGCCCCGGACTAACCATAAGGCCTGTCCAAGAACTATTGTTATAGTTGATCTATATCCTTGTACCCACACCAAAACCTGAATAAAAACTTAAATTATAAAAATGCTGGATAGCTAGTGTATTTAATGTTATAGTGACTGCATCAGGATGAGTGAGGACACTCACTTTATAGCAGAAAGAGGAACACTCGACTGTACTTGGAAATAGAGGCAGAAACATAGAGATCTCACAAGGTCACCATTGTAACCTTTGAGAGATCTAAGCCAGTCTACACACCCAAATGTGACTGAAACATTTTTTAAAATAGTCTAACTAAATTACAACATGATACTTATGCAGACTACCCATACCTGCATTAATGCCATACAAAAAACGAGCCAGAAGAATCATCTCAAAAGACCTGGCAGTGGAACTGAGACCAACTAGCAGAGCTCCAACAAAAGGAATCAGGTCACTGCATAGCAGACATTTCTTCCTATAATAAGGGAACATTAGTAATTATCAGCACTGCTTTCATATACTGGTAATGACAGTAATTACTTTTTATTGCACTTACTTCCCATATCTGGAAACTAAATATCCAGTTCCCAAAGATCCCAGTAAGCCACCAATGCAGTAACTTGACACAATGAAGGACCATAATAATCTAAGGCTGCTCTCAGTTATTGGTAGCTGGTATCGATGTATCCATGTGCCATTGATGAATGTCTTTACAAACTGGAAGAGAAGTGTTAGCAAATCACTAGATATTATGTAGTCTGTGAAATGGTTATATGGAGCCACTGTATGCCTACCAATAAAAATAGATAATTTAAAGGAGAACTATGGGGTCAGTGTTTTTCACCATAGTTCTCCTTGGGGTAACGGGAGGACACAAACTAGCGTCCTCCCGTTACCCTAAGCTCAGTATATCGCGAGCTACAGCTCGCGGTATACTGAGACGCCGCACCTGGAGCGGATCCCGACTTAGATGACGGGATCCGCCCAGCTGCGTGAGTGACAGCTGGCTCTGCCTATCTAGAGGCAGAGCCAGCTGTACCCGCCCCCTCCCCCGTCCGTTCCGCCAGTCAGCGCTGGCAGATCGGAGCGGGGAGAGGGGAATCCAGCCCCTCCCCCTGTCACGGCAGAGAGCCGTGACAGGATCGAGAGGTGAGGGAACCCGGTATGTGTTCTCTCACCTCCCGATCTACTGAGCCGACCTGTGACAGTCTCATTGTCACAGGTCGGCTTAGAACTATGAGGTGAGTGGAAATCACTCATGTCATAGTTCTCCTTTAACTTATTTCAGTCTACTCCACTTGCATACTATAAGGGAATTTGTTTTAGTGAGTATTAGGTGAGCGCTCAATTTGTTACACTGGTCTGACACTGGATTTGTTTCTTTACAAAAGCTGAAACATAAATGGTTTTAAACGAAATTTGAGGTTCAGTGAACAATTTTTGGAGGTACCTGTACAAGAGAACATCATTCTTGCTGTTATTGGTGTATGTGATACTGTTGTCAACCCTGTAGCCTTTAGGTCAGGGGTGTCTCTAGCATTTTTGCTGCCTGAGTCAGGGGGAATAGGTTGGTGCTCCTGGAGAGTGACGCCACTAAGAGCCATGTGAGGAGATGTGTAAGAGGTCTGCATCTCCCTGCCTAGCTCTTAACAATTTGGGATACTTTTGCTGGAGTCCTGCCAACCATTGAAATCACAGGTTGCCAGGAACTTGACGGGACACCTGCAAGAGTGTTCCATATTGCTAAGAGCTGGGCGGGCAGATGTGTATGGCCCTTGCAGATCTCCCTGTGCGGCACTTAGCAACCTGGAACTCTCTGGCTGGAAAGGGGGTGGCACACATTGTGCAGCAGAGCGGCCATGCTGCTCTGTCTGACCCCCTCACGACCCAGAGAGATGCTGCCTGAAGCAATAGCATTAGGCTGCCTCATTAAAGGGATGGCCCTGCTTTACATGTTAGGTTTTGGTTTCAGTTTGCACACTGAGTCACCTGAGATGTGTGTAAGTACCATGTATCTTCATATCTGGGCTCCTGATTGCTCCCACATTCCAGAAAACATACTCAAAGACTCGTTCACACCACCAAGCCAAGCTAAGTGTGCGGGTGTTGGTGTGTGATGATAGGCACAGTACTGATGTGCTGATTCCAGGGCAATGCAATGTTTACTTTTTTTATGTTAGAACTTTACTAAAGTGTCACAAGTGACATTACATGAAGTTCTATCAGCACAGCACGTTGCAATGCAGTTGTACTGAGTCGCACTACACTGAAAAATATACTTTTTGTAAAACGCATACCTCTGTAATGCCAAGAGGTGGTGTGGACCGTGTCCATTAAAACAAGTCAAATCTGTGCGTTGGGGTGCCACTGGAAAAAATGGCCAGGGCAGCCCCACCTCTTCTGGTGGGAATAGGCCCTGAAGGTTAATGGGCTTCCATTTAAAAAAATGGCCAATTCAGATTTTTGTAGGCTTTTGAGTAAGTTCAGAGCAGTTCTTGAATTCTGAATGAATGAGCACAAAGAAGTCCAGATGTGTTTTGTAGTGTGTTCAGTATTTAGTACTCCATTAAAGCATAGATAATTTTTGTTTCATTTTCACACTAAGAACTGTGAAAGTGACAGCTGAAAGGTGGCTGGTTGCTATAAGCAACAAGAAAAGTTCTTGTTAGCACACTTTTCATAAATAGGCCCCAATGTGTTTCCCAATGAAACAAAAATAAGACTTGTTTCATAAACTAATGCAGATGCATTTCATTTGTGCTAGCTGATAACTGCTGTGAGACAATTGGTCACTGTCATTAAAACACAACAAAACACCAAAAACAGACATACCTGTAAAAGAAAAGAGCTATTAGCCCTCATTCACACAAGTAACAGTCGGCCCGTACAGATCCGTGCTGCGTGCATTGCCGTATCTGGCTGCCCCAGGAAGGACAGGTGCTGCATGTGATTTGTAGGCAGCAGCCTGTTCATCTCTATGGGAGTACGCAGCCGTACACTGCCTTACGCTCACCCAAACTGCACGTCCGAGTACGGACACCCGCAGGGACGCAGCACCTGTCCTTCCCAGGAGCGGCCCGATACGGCCAGGCACACAGCACGGACCTGTACGGGCTGGCCGTTACTCGTGTGAATGAGGGCTTAGTACTGCCCCTCCCTCCCAGAATGCTGCTGTATAGAGGATTGCAAGGGGCTGATACCTAGTCAAATACCAGTTGATACCCTTTCTGCATTTGTAAAAATACTTCTAACAGAATAACTTATTAATGATTACAGTCTGGGAGACAGTCAACAGAGTTGTCAGATGTTTGCATCCTTTCCAAAATGGTGCTGAACTAAAACATAGGCAATAATCAGTTTAGTACTTACCCGAGAGGGAGAGTTTAGAACAGATATATGGAATCCGTACTGAAAAGTTCCTCCTATTCCCAACACAAATATGAGCATAAAAAGCCCACGATACTGGAGCTATGAGACAAAATTATTAATACTGTGTTGTTCATAAATTGTCTATGACACATGGAAGCTGTAGTAGATCAGCTCAACATTATGTATTGTAATATAAAATGCTGAATTAAATAGTTTTGCAAGAAATATGAAAGTAACTGTTCTTTAGCAAAAGCACAAAATAAGAAAGAGGAGAAGGGAGGCGGGGGGGGGGGGCAGTTATTCCTCCATTCCGCTCCCCCGCATCCTTTGGTTCAGAGTTCAGAGATTGATATTTTTGAGAAAGTATGTCCAATGGAACCAATAGCTTTTTAATGTAGTGAGATTTTGTAGCATTGTGTACATTACAAAAGATCCTCAACATCTTAAATAATGGAGTATACCTGTAAACGATCAGCAGGTGTTTCAAAGCTGGAACAGACTCTAGAGTATTTCATGAGATTTTGAGGATCTTTGAAAATGATTAACTTCATATTAAAAGCAGCTAGATAGATCAGGTGGGTGAGTGATGGGAGATGGGTCTACTGCCTGTTAAGAATATGCAAATGATTGCTCCTTTCTCTTTTTGTTCCTCTTCTCCCCCTTCCTGCATTCAAACATAATATTTAAAGAAATAGAATCAAAACATTTTACATTAAGAGAAGGAAAAAAAAAAAAAGGGGAGGGGAATGGGAAAAAAATAGATAAAACAAAGATAGGAGGGGGACTTCAATAGCACAAGATGTGAAGATTTAGGCAATTCTCCTCCAGTGACCAAACGGAGGTGAACAGCCCCGCCAACAAGTTCAATAGGTCAGAAACAGGAATCTAAGTAAACATGGTATTGTATTTAGGGGAATTAAACAATTCTGTCCAATAAAATCAAGTCTTAATAAATTCCTCTAACGTCCCTTTTCTAGACGCAATCAGGTCCCCCATTCTCCAGATTTCACCAACCTTAGATAACCACATCGCTATAGTGGGGGGGCAAGATTGTTTCCATAATGCTGGTATACAACTAGGTACAAAAGGTACAAAATAATAAAATGAAAATGAAAAAAAATGTAAAACTAACCCGGCGCCCATACCAACTGCATGCAAAGCAATAATTCTAGGTCCATAATTTGCTGTTAACTCTAAACTGATGAGCAGTAAAAGCTTTTAAAGCGTCACCTATGATTAATTTTGAGTATCAGAATTTTTCGCCATTGCATGGGTGCATGCAATTTTACCGCTTAACATGTTTGGTATCTATTTAATTGATGTAGCCCCATCTTTTTAATTTTACCAAAAAGGGTACCAAATTGTGTTTGTGTGCACTAAAATATATTTAAGTGTTTTTTTCCTAAAAAAATGAATTTGATAAATGTTTGCGCAACATATCGTGCTGCCATTTTTTAATTCTACAAAGCCTTAGCTTTCAGGAAATATATACTTGTTTGGGGGTTTAAAGTAATTTTCTATCCAACAATTCAGATTTTAGCATGTGTGTGCAGAACTGTTAAAACATCTATGGTCCTTCACTTACAACATGGCCAAAACAGGCCACTCATGAAGTGGTTAAAGCAAGGAGCCTGAACATACAATCCTTACTAAACCCAGGATCAAAGACCATTGACACTTCCACCAAATACAATGTAACCACTTGTTTAAAACAACAAACAAGGAAACAGTAGACAAATATATCTGTAAAAAATAATGCAACGCAACTGGAATTGCTGTACTTTTCTTAAAGACGTTTCACTGGACATCCGACCAGCTTTCTCAATTCTGAATTGAGAAAGCTGGTCGGATGTCCAGTGAAACGTCTTCAAGAAAAATACAGCAAGTCCAGTTGCCTTGACATATTTTTTACAGATATACAATGACCACCTGGATAAATGAGAACCTTCACAGACAAATAGATAGACCTACATAAAGAACCCCTAGTGGGGAGTAAGACCCCATTCAGACTGAGCCATTTGTTGCGCGATTTCCGCTTAAATATCGCTCAAAAATCGCTCAATGTAGCTCGTCCAATGCATTTCAATGGAGCTGCTCACATCTCACAGCTCAATGTCACTTGTAGCTCGAACATGACGTATTTTTCCAGCGGATTTCGTGCGATTTGGCCCCAATAGGCTTTCATAGACTGCCAAAAGAAGCGCTACGTAGTGCGACAAAATGTGCACTGTAGCTAAATGCCGCTCAGCTCAAATCAGCTCTGAAGAAGCGTTTTTTTAATGTAGCTCGGTGTGAATGAGGTCTTATAGATGCCAACATTCCAAATGTCTCACTTGGACCTACAAACCAACAAAACAGACATGCCTTTGTTAAGTGTTTATTTATATATAGGTGTAATCTTACTGAAACTTATTCTTATGTACAACGCCATATACTTTTCTATAGTTCATACCAAAATGAGGCAGGTTTGGTGAAACGAATATTATTAATTAACAGAAAACAACCTATTGATACAGCTAGGCATGTTACAGGCAACTATTCCTATATTTCACTTCATGGCTGTTTATTCTATTATTAACAATGCTGCCATTTTAAAACTACTTATTAACCAGCTCTACAGGAGCCAAATACTAATAGCATTTAACAATGAAAGAATAGACAAGATTGATGGCCACTGTGGCAAGTTAGCAAAACCGAGATCTATTGAATTAAGCCTTGCTTGTTGTTTTTTGTACACTAGATGAAATACTGCTTTTCGGGATTATTATGAAATAGTTTCATTATAACCCAATGCTCTGATTTAATTTATATTGTATGTTTAATGTTTTCATTACATGTATGTTTCAGTACTAGAACTACATAAATACTTGTATTTATTGTAAAGCTCCCTTTTTTTAATCTAAATTATTTATACACAGATTATCTGGTATTTAAGCTATATTAACCTGTTAAGATTCAACAGGACTATCTATTATATGTGATCACATTTTTTTCATGATATTAGATATATTATTTAATATTATTATATGAATTTTCCAAAGACATATATTTTATGTTTTTTATTTCTTTATTGAAAAATTTACAGACAATGGAACTGAGCAATCATACAATGGTACCAAACACATTTATCAAACAAACAAATAATTCATGATAGACATCAGTGCGTACCAACAATGCATTTCAAAATACACAATTGTACAATTAGATCCGTGCTGTAGTAGGGAGAAGAATGATAGCAGGGAATTCCAAACTATGATTCCACCTTCAGATAAATTATTTTTCAATTTGAAGTTAAAGTGACACTAAAATTGGGAGTTAAAGGAGAACTATGGGGTTAAGGCTTTTCCCTATAGTTCTCCTTAGGGTAACGGGCGGACACAAACTAGCGTCCTCCCGTCACCCTAGGCTCAGTATAGCTACAGCTCGCGGTATACTGAGACGCCGCAGTATACCACGAGCTGCTGCTCGCTGTATTTTGAGACGCCGCAGCTGAAGCGGATCCCGACAATTATGTTTGGATCCGCCCAGCTGCGTGACTGACAGCTGGCACGCCCATGTAGAGGCAGAGCCAGCTGTACCCGCCCCCTTCCTCGTCCGTTCCACCAGTCAGCGCTGGCGGATCGGAGCGGGGAGGGGGAATCCAGCCCCTCCCCTGTCACGGCAGAGAGCCGTGACAGGATCAAGAGGTGAGTGAACGCCGGTATGTGTTCGCTCACCTCCCGATCTAGTAAGCCGACCTGGTACAGTCTCATTGTCACAGGTCGGCTAGAACTATGAGGTGAGTGAAAAGCACTCACCTCATAGTTCTCCTTTAAATCTTAAAATGTATTCAGGTACCTTAACTATTAGCAAAAATGTACCTTGTTTGTGTATCACTCAGCTGTAGATCCTCAAATCATCTCTGAATTGGTGCTGACACTGTCCTTCCTTCTGGAGGGGGGCTACTTTTGTTCTCCATGGTCCCTGTGTGTGTTGTAAAGTAATCACGACTCTAAGCTCACTCCTTTTGATGGATTACAATCTCACATTTAGTTTACTAATTTGTATTGAAACTATAGTCTAGAATTTTTTTTTTATTAAGTTTTCCAACAGTACAAAATTTAAAAAAAACAATCAGACAAACATTTGCCTGTGATCAGAAATTTGAATGTATTTTTAAGATTTAAATCCTGAGTTTAATGTTACTGTAAATTTAATGGGGATGGGGTAGAAGGGTCAGCATGTGGAAAATACACAATTTGTCATCAGCCAAACAAAGGGAAGAGTAAAAAAGGAAGAAAGAGAAGAAAAAAAAAGGGAAAGTTCCCCCACATAAGGTATAACCGTGAGAGTCGTCTCAGAACAGATTTCTGATAAGTTTTTATATTGATCAAATTGATATGTAGAAGGGAATAGGATGGTTCTAAGTGATACTCGGTGAACTGTTGAGAGATTCTCCTGACCCTGTTCCAAAACTCAGACAGTTTGGGGCATGACCAGGAGATGTGGAGCAATGAACCTTCCTCCGTCTTACCCTACAACACCAGTCAGAAAGGGGTGGAAGGAATTTGCGGATTCTAGAAGGAGATTTGTACCAATGTGTTATGGAATTTGTAGTTCAATTCATGGACTTTGGTGCAGAAAGAGAAGATTAGGGAGAAGATATACATTTTGTGGATCTGAGCTGAAGTGAAACTAGTGTAGTGGACCATTGCCATTTCCCCTTTTAGAACAATTTCCCGCTTTTAGACTGTATGTTGCCACAGAGACTTTGATTGGCTCAGCTCTCAGCAGTACTAAAGTGTTTGTGGGAGTTGCAGTTTCAACACAGGAAGAGACAATGAAAAGTTATGCTGCACTGAACTACCCGACCCAGGAGGCTTTGTGACCTGGAGGAAAAGGGGACTGAATCTTCTCTCAGAATGTGCTCAGATCAGCAAGGGATTTGCCAGCGGCTGAGTGTATTGTGAAGTGCTGCCTGATAGTTTATATCAGGAGAGAGATAAAACCTGAGGTGTTGCTGGTGATCATTGTCTGCTGAACAATATCTGTGATTCCAGTGTCTGAGACTGTCTGCTTTTCTACTGAGGGATCCTGCTGAAAGATTCTTCTACAGTGTGGGAAATGCTACATGAACTGGTGAGGGGATCCAGTGTATCAGAAATAGACCCTGCCAGCCCATTCCTGAGTGATTGGATTCTACAGAGATGTGCTGCAAGCATCGGTAATGCTACTGTGTGGCACAAGCTGCTGCTGCTGCTACTGCTGCTGCTCGAACCTGGAAAGCTGTTGGCTACAGAGGAGAAACCACCTCCTATCACCAATCGACGGGGAGCCGAAATCCAAGCTGCAAGAGTGGTGAGAGGCCATTGGCCACAGTAATATTGTGTCTAAATCAACCATACATGCAGAACTTGGGCCCCACCGACGGCTAGCCTAGTTAAATACCAGTAGGTTTAAGACGTGGGTCTGTTTGGACTGAGACTTTGCCTTCACAGTTTGCTGTTTCAGATATAATTAAATTAGTAAGTTCAGTGTTGTTTGCATATGCAGATAGGCAGCAACAGCTAAGATTTATCTGCATATTTAAAGTGCTTCTATTACTTGCTATTTACTAGGGATGCACCGATATATTGGCCGCCGAAACATATCGACCGGAAATGGCACTTTTGGCTAAATGCCAGAAATTTTCCTGCCGATACATCGGCGCATCCATGATTTCTCTCCTCCCCGCTTGGCGCTGCTCTGTGTCCCAGCGGGGAGGAGAGAAAGTGTGACAGCCGGCCAAGCGCTGTGAGCGGCCAGCGTCTCTCCTCCCACACCGCTCAGCCTCCCATCACAGTCCGGCAGAGCGGTGTGTGGGCGAAGACATCCCGCGCTGTCACAGGAGGCTGAGCTCTCCTCCCACACTGCTCGTTCAGCCTCCTGTGACAGCTGTCAGGATGGAGAGCGAGGTACAAACACTCAGCGATCAGTGATCACTGAGTGTTTGTACATAATTGAGGACATGGCATGTTGACTATATCCTTAATTATGAATGAATGGGAGTGATCTACATCACCTCCTGTTCATTCATGGTTGTAGTTATAGTAAACACACAATGTTCTCAAGTTATAAATGAACAGGAACACTCAGTATAGAGGATTCCTGTTCATTGATAACAGGGGCTGCAGAAAAAGAGATAGAGGACTCTGTGTCCTCAATCCCTTTTTCTATTTTAAAAGGGAAATATCAGGTGTCTTTTTAGACCCCTAATATTTGCCCGAAGCCCCTAAAAATAAAGTAAAAAATAAAAAATGAATAAATAAATAAAAATGAATATAAAAATTTACATTTTCATAAAAAATGAATAAAAATTAAATTGAAAAAAAAATTGAAAAAATTAAAATAAAAACATTTTCGGTTTCGGCCTGACAATTTTTTAAATTTCGGTTTTGAAATTTCCATTTCCGTGCACCTACACTATTTACCATTGTTGTACCTGTTCATGCATTTGTTACATAATATATTATTTGTCTATCACAGAGGTGAGACAGAAGTACTCGTATATTCCAGCAGCTCTTTCAGGGGTGAGCGCTTCACTAGTTTCTTAATCTTGCTTTAATTTAGCTATGTAGGGTGGGTCCTGGTGTGGATAGCAAGGAGTAGATCAGTGACAAAGAATGTCTGAAAGGACCAGTATCAGA